AACAAGACTAGAAAAGCACACTTGGACCTTATCTTCACAAATAATGAGACCTGATAAGAACATAATGAATATCAAAAACAACTAATTCCGATCAGCAACCTAATCGAAGTCTCAGACGTATAATAGGACTCATAGGGGTCCTGATCATCAGAATGCATGTACGCTGTGAAGGTGTCTTCACAAAAAAATTACACTTCAACAACAAAACATCAACTGGACCAGGGTAAACCATGTCCTAAACGAAACTTGTTGTGGAAGATGTCTTCAATGACATGAATCGCAAACCAAGTGGCCTAAGGAAGATCAACTTCTTGGTGCAGGCCGAAGGGCATGTTCTAGGCATATTCCCCAAGGAAAGAAGAAGAGCATGAGTAAACTGGAGAGAGAAAGACGCTCCCTCTAGCAGAAGAACGCCGAAGAGTCACTGAGCTCCTCAGGATTGCTAGAAAATCAGATAGCAGCGAAAAGGAGCGGCTGACCAGGGGAAGTGGAAAATATCGAACTTAAGTTAAATGACTCTTAGCAGGAACAGGAGAGTACAGGAACAAGGGAGCTTAAAGCTATTAGTGAAATTGAAAGAAATTCCAAAATATTTCTTTTCACTATTCCAAAAACCAGGCAAATACCACATCTCTAATATTGTGCCCTTACTCAGACAGGATGGACTTACACAGATGACAACAAGGAAATGAGTGAAATATTGAAATCCCAGTACGACTCTGTGTTTAGTGAACCACTACTCGGGTCTGAGGACGACGACCCAAATGATTTCTTCATGAACAGAGCCTCAAAACTCCATAAATGTATGCCAGATTTCCGACAATACCGCTAACTCCGATAGATTTCAAAAAGCCATTGACAACAAATGCCGCATGCACTAAGGCCCCGGGCCCAGACTCGTGGAACACCTTTTTCATTAAAAACAGCAAGAAACCCCTCTCGTGTGGCCCTAAGTAGGCACTATGGAGGAGGGAGGCATGGGACATGGGTAAATTGCCACAGTCACTTAAAACAACAGATCAGGCCCCACACCATAAATGGTGGGGGCAGCAAAGCATTAGCTCAGAACTAACGACCAAAAGGCCCTGACGTCCGCACCTCATAAAAAATCATAGAGTGCTACAGAAGCAGGTTTGGGCAAATCACCTGGATTCCCAAAATCTGCACCAATCCAGGGCAACAAGTGTTCAGGGCAGTCGGCTCCTGGCCTCTCACAACTACTGGATCACTATGAATGGCCCTGGAGCACTGTGAAGAAAATCAGAATGAATGATGTAATAAACACAGTCTTTGGCAAAAGGCATTTACAAATGGTCGTCAATGGTATAATAGCCTCCATACAATACGTGGCTAAAGGAATAACTGGAAAGTGTGGGAGATGGATACTTCAATTCTTCCTAACAAATCTACACAAAGTAGTGGTCAAGCAGATTAAATCGGTGTAGGCTGCCCATAGTGAGATGTCTCTGTTTCGTCACAAGCACAGTACTCGCCCCCATCTTATTCGGCTTATCCTCATATCAGAGCACAGATATAGCATCACAGCCCCGTCATCATCCTTTGCATGGCGATGATACTAGTATCTGCATGAGGCAGTTATCTGGGCTGAGTACATGGTACCACCAAGAAGAATAAAGCAAAGTTTTTCCAGTGGGCAACGGTAAACATATGATGTTCAATGAGGACAAATTCAACTACTCTGTTATGGAAAACTGGAGGAGATACACTAGAAGCAGAGAATACAACAGACTCTGGCCCATAACCATAGAGGCATAAAAATAATGTAAGGGACCTGGGATAGTAATGTATCAGAGAAGATCTCACTTTCAAGGATCACAACATGCCAAGATTGCACGTGCAAAGGAAGTGATATGATGGATAATGAGAACATTCAAAACGAGAAGATGCCAAGCCAATGATGATCCTTTTCAAATCACTTGTTCACTCTAGGGTACTGTAATACTGCTGATATCAATACCATCTCGCATTCAAAGCAGTTGAAATCGCAGATCTAAGAGTGTGTAGGCAGAATCCTTTATCTGCACATCAACAGTTCTGTCAACAGGCCCCTCAACTACTGGGAACGCTTGAAGCACTCGACTTGTACTTTGTTGAACCAGGAGGGGAGATATATATCACAAGTCTACACTTGTAAAATCTTGGAAGGAATGGTCGCCAAATCAGTCACATACAGAAATCCCTCCCTATGAAAGTAAAAGACTGGGCAGAGGCGATGGCAACATGCCCCCAAAAAAAGTATGGGCGCCACTGGTACACAAAGGGAAAACAACATAAAGTGTCCGGGCCCAAGACTGTTAATTCAAGCAGCCTCCCATCAAGGCATTATGGGAATTGCCAATAAACCCCTGACTGCCTTCAAGAAGGAGCTGTCGACAGATACCTAAAAGTCATGTCAGCCGGGATCAGCCGGCTGTTGTGGCTCGTACGTTGAACTGGCATGCCGCCAGCAAAACAGGCTGTTGATCAGCCCTGATCGCATCGGGAGGCCCTGGTCATGGACCATGCTGCGGGGGCTTGATCCCGCGGAATGACCTCCAGGTAACCTCCAGGTAACGCTGAATATCCAATCTCATTACCTAATTATAAATCAGTTACTGTGTTTTGCATACAGTAGGCAATATATACATTGTGCATATAATGGCCTCACAGGCCACAGAAGTTAGTGGAAAAATCATTAGGTAAAAGAAAAACATAGCATAAAAAAAAAAAAAAACTAATATGAGGGGGGCATGGGCAGGGCAGCTGATGTTATCGCATCAGGGCCTTTATACTTGGAAGTATGGATGGGAAAATTGTTTTATTAGCAAAAAAAAAAAAAATACATTCTCTAAAGATTTTTTTTTTTAATTCTTGTACCCTGAGAGCAATTTTGATATGCAGGGGTCTAGACTACAGAAATAGTTAATACGTGGCTGGCTGGAATTCAATTCACCGGCACTCAGAAGAGAAGTAATGTTACGGACTTATTTTGGGGTATATCCTGGAGGGGATCTCAACACAACCTATGTATATAAATTATGTAATCTATTTCATGTGTACTGTAACCTGCATAAACTTACACCAACATAATGACAGTCCAGCACTGGACCACTGTCAAATTTCATCTCCGATCCACTGCGAGGCAAAATTATAATATGACCTAACAGCGGACGGCAAAGGTTTGAGAGGTTACTCTTTCAAGTGCACGTTTTTTGATGAAGGTAATCATGATAAATGCTGGGCAAAGTGAGAGCCTAATTCAGGTAGGAAGCTAAAACAGTAATCATATCACTGATGGGACTTGACAGTGGCACTTTCCTGGTGTATGAATAATATATACTTGTTACCTGAAGTTAAATATACATGCTTATCGTATCCAGTTACCTACTTATTAAGTTTATTCAGTACGGGTACTACAAATATACAGTTAAGATAAGAAAAGCAGGATGTTCGTTCGGAAATTTTATATAAATCGGCCCGGAGTGGTTAGCCACCCAGGATAACCCAAGAAAGTCAGTGTCGTCAATCGAGGACTGTCTAACTTATTTCGCATTGGGGATACCTTAATCTTGTCCCCCTCAGGATGGCACCCACACCAGTCGACAAACACCCCATGTAGCCTATTTTCTGCTAGGTGAAACAGACCAACGGTGTAAGGAAACGTGTCGAAATGTTTCCACCCACCCGCCGGGAAATCGAACCCGGACCCCATCCGTTGTGAAGCGGTAGGCTTTAGAGCCACCAGGCCACGCCGGGCCTGTCTGTGTACGCTATAATTCAAAAAACTATTTAATTTACATTTGTTAAGCAGATTTAGTTATTGTAATAATACACACTTTTATACAAATTAAAAAAATTAGCAAACTTTGCATAGTCATCAAGACATTACAGTGAACATTAATGATTGACACTAAAATGTTCAGAAAATTCCTCAAAATCATAAGGGACTTTTTAAAAATTTTTTTCAGCTGGGTATATTACAAAAGGTAGCAGCAAGTTCCGATAAGACCATGAACGGTATAAGAACACACAGTGAGGTAAATAGATGGAAGGTTGAGGTCAAGTTGTTTAGTTTACAACATACTAGAATGGAGTATTCATACCTCTTTTTTCTCCTCCTCACACCTGCATGGCTTCTTTCCTCACACCTTCTCTCCAGACAGCGTCGCCTTGTTCAGTGTCATACATAGTGGTGAGGAGGCAGTGGAGACTGGTGGCAGCGAGGATACTGAAATAAGTTACAATAAGAGGATGACTGCGGTGTCTTGCTCCTCTGCCACAACCACAACTTTGGGGCGGGTTGGGGGGGGGGGGGGGGGGGGGGGGGGGGCCAGGGGGGGGGGGACCATAATGTACATAGCATGTTGTAACCACCTCGGCTGTCTACCTCTTTATATTATACTAACTACGCAACGAATTCATACTTGAATTTTTATAAAATTATTATTTGAAGCGTAATTTACTTGAAAGATATAAATAACTCAAAAATATATATATGATTCGTTACCGATGAAATTATTTTATTTATTTTAATTTATGTCTGTAGTATCTGGATTAAATGGGGCATTAGAATACAATGATTAATTATTATCTTATGCGACTGATCTATCATTGCATTATATCATATAAAAATAAAAATGGCGTTGTAACTGATCAATACCATACATTGGAAATTGTAGCATTTCATTTATTTTTACGGTCTACATATTAACATTCCTTAAAGAAACTGTCAAATTCTTCTTTTTAAATTGAATATTTGATTCATCTGATGTCCATTTCAATTTTATATCTCCCTAAATATATACAAAAAAAAAATATACATACAATGCATCACAAAGATCTCAAAAAAATCTGAAAAAATATATTCTGAGAAAGAATACGTTGAATATGTACAAAATTTAGATAAAGCGAAAAATACATAAAATATAATCAATAACTATTATATTAAAAGTATTCATTTTTTTTAAACATTTGGGGCAGACGAAAATTTCCTCCAAGAACGTCCAGTGGAGATGGCTGGCCGGGGCGCCAAGTTTTTGATAAATATTTATTCGCCCCAGTCTCTCGGCATTTTATTTTTAATTTGAAAATGAAGCATGTAAGTGATGGTGGTCATGCTGTTATCATTATGATTATTATTATATTGATGGGGAGGCGCCCTAACTCCCGTAAAGGGTGTTACAGCGCCTGGGGGGGGATGGATGGTGACACTCCGGTTGATCCAGAGAGACGATAATATTAATCTTTATTTTCTACAAAAAATGTACAAAAGGTATAGCCAGTCATAGCTGACATCAGTGACATTAGCTATATAGAAAGACCCTTTGTTAAGGCAGAGCATTTCCTGAGAAAATTAGTCAATTTTGTCCGGCAGGATGCGACCCACAACCAGTCGCACTAACACCCAGGATGCGACGCCACACCAGTCCACTAACACCCAGGAAACGACCCCACCCAGTCCACACTAACACCCAGGATGCGACCCACACCAGTCGCGGGCAATAACACCAGGATTCGACCACACACCAGTCCACTAACACCCGGATGGCGACCCACACCAGTCCACTAACACCCATGATGGGCGACCCACCCCAGTCCACTAACACCCAGGATGTGCGACCCACACTCAGTCCACTAAAACCACCCAGGATGCAAAACCCACACCAGTCGGGCCACTAACACCCAGGATGCGACCCACACTACCAGTCCACTAACACCCAGTATGCGACCCAGCACCAGCCACTAACACCCAGGGTAGCCCGATTTACTGATGGAGAAGCATAGACAAAACCAGTGTCAGTAAACACACCCAGTGTATTGACCCCTCGCATGGGAATCGAACCCAAGACACTCGGCCATGTAAAAGCGAGAGGGCTTTATCGCCACCAGCCACACGGGAGAGCTCCGTTGGATCAAGAGGCCTCTCACCATCATCAAAGTAGAAAATAATGTAGACTGTTGGTAGTGAAGTTGCGAGTTGTGCTTGCACTAGTTTATCTTAATTGATTATGAGTGGCGATCATAAAATTTAATAATAGTAATTAATAATAATACGTAATTAGTAATAAAAATAATGATATATTAACTTGTTTCAATTCAATATATGCTAATTATGTTTATTTAGGTTCATACTTTGTTTTAAATTTTTGGTAATATTGAATTCTACACCACCAAGGCCACAGTGCCTGTGCCTGGTGGCAAAAGCTTTTGTTTCCCATGTGTGGATCTGGATTCCGATTCCCAGTGAGGGTTGAAACATTTGGGTGTGAGTCCTACACCAGTTGTCTTGTTCAACCCTTCATCTAAAAATGGGCACCTGGGGTGTTAGTTGACTGTTGGACGCATCCTGGACAAAATTTACTCTAATTTGCCTGAAATGCTCTGCATACAGAGAGATAACATGATTATCTACACCAGGAAAATCCTACATAGAGGGACAAGTACCGAACTTGCCACGAAAATCACTCACTACGAAAGCAAAAGACTTGGCAGACGATGCCAACATCCCCCCAATGATAAGCCAGGGTTGTCACTAGCACGTTAAGAGACCATACAATAAGTGTCAGGGGCCCGAGACAGTTCAGCCTGCCTCCCAGCAATACATAAGGGGGCTTACCAACAGACCCCTGGCAGTCTTCAAGCTGGCACTGACAAGCACCTAAAAAGTCGGTTCTGACCAGCCGGCTGTGGCTCGTACGTGTTTGCGAGCAGGCCACAGCAAAAGCCTTCGTTTATCAGGCTCTGATCCACCAGTAGGCCTGGTCACAATACCGGACCGCATGGGCGTTGGACCCCCGGTCTCTCTCCAGTAAACGCCAGGTAATAAACAAAGCGCTTTCTATATAGAATATGTCAATTGATGTCAGACCTAATGGTCTGTAAACCTTGTACCTGTACTTGTAGAAATAAAGTATTTGTTATTATTATTATTACATACATCCCTTGCCCAGATTGGATGCTGGTCTTTTAGCCTGTGAGCAAACGCTTTCCACAGGAACTATACGTATATTGGATTTTCCGTCTGTTAACCTGCTAATATTAGGGATGGGATTACTTAACTAACATAACCAGAGAAAAACGAAATACCAAGTTGCATATGACACATTAAAATATTATCATATAAACCAGTAGTTTATTAAACTGTGCTAATTATGAACTATGCAAAATATTAACTTTTCTTTCAGATTTCATGGTGCACGATTGCGCTGGGGTTCGACACTACCGCATAGATGCACGCCCTGTCACCTTAATACCTGAGATGGCATTGGACCAAAATCTCGGCAGCTGTACAAAAAATTTACACTGCTGCAGCGGTTAGTAATTCTTGAGTCATTTTTTTAATTAAGAGAGTAAAATCACCATTATCGCTCGTACCATAAACAACTGTATGTATGTAGTACCTCTTAGGAAGAAGTTTGGTATACTGTAAGTGAGCATGATCACTAATGGCAGAAAGTTTGATATGTAACTCCCTTCCATCAAAGGATTATTTTGATATACATACGACTGCACTAAAAAAAAAAAAAAAAAAAAAAAAGATATTGTAGTGAGTATAAACATAGTGCATTTTTTATGTTCAATCATATTTTATAAGTTATGAACATATGATAATTAAGATGTGTACATAAAACAGTATGTATTGTATTTATTTATGATAATATTTTACTTCAAGAATAAGCTTTGTGTATCTGATTGTTGCAATTATTGTTTATCCAGTACCCTGTATCGTGTTGTTGTGTAGTTTGCATAATATACTTAAAACTAATAATGACTAATTGGTAAACTGGGATTAAAATTGGTTCAGCCATCACCATACCTTTACTATACTGGGTTTTATTTAGCGTATATATGTTTGCTTGTACTCAATATACAGGAAATGGAACTGTAATTCCCAGTTTGGTATGAAAATTAACTGAAAAAAATGATGTACATTGGTACACCGATTTACGACCAAGGAGTGTTACAACCACCTCACATCTGCCGAGCTACCACGGTGGACAAAAGAGAGTGTGCCGGAAATCCTTCCACAAAGGCATACCTTCCTTCGGCACCACCACCCGAATCCGAAAGTTGGCTTCGCAGAGATACACCCTCGCCCGAGAGACACCCAAAGCCAACCCTCGCGGATACCGAGAGGGATCAGGACATCCCCTGCAATCCAGATTCCATGGCAAACTAAGCCACCCGCCAAGAACCCCAACGGAATGGATGGACCCCGGTAACCACTTCCCCTACCTTAGGAACTAGCGTGGCCTGTGGGTGCAAAAAAAAAAAAAAAAAAAAGGCCAAAAAAGGAAGGGGCAAAAGGGAGGGGTGGGGAGGAGGAGGAGGAAAGGAAAAAGGGGAGATGGGGAGGAATGGGATAAGGGCACGGGGGATGGGAGGTAATTAGGTTCGGATCTGAGGAAGGAGACCGACAGTCTAATTCCCTCAGACGCAAGAGGGCCTCTTCACCACCCAAGGAGGGCCCCCCTTGGAGAGGAACGGACTGGATGTAGCACCAAATAATACGCACCTACAAGCGAAAGGTTTTTCAGAGGGATAAATGGGTCGCTAGGATTCTCAGGCCATAAGAAGTGTGGTTACAATCCCGGTTTAGCCTCTTGTAAACCCACCTCAGGAAGCTTTACTTATGTCAGACCAGAAAGGCACAAAGGCTTCACTCTGAAAATATAATAAATATCTCCTAATTTTTTTCGTCAACAACGGACCTGTCATCAAAGCAGTCATTTAAACTAGGTAGCATTTTTGTTAGCTCCTGGCAGCTACAATTAAACAATTCTCAGAGGAGTGGCTCTTAAATCTTTCTTCACTCCCGTGATGTGGCAAATAGTGAGCCATAAATTTGCTTTCTCAGGGAGGTACTTCTATAAATTATTAATTAATTGTTCAGGGGGGCAATTATATCTTTATTAGGCATTAAGCAATCAGGTGTCTTACTACTTACTCGGGTTTCGGCTGAGGGCTGACGGGCCTTTAATGTCCATATGCCCCATTCTGTAATTATGGGCAATCTGGATGGTTCAGTCTCTCAACGAAGTCGTACCTCAGTATTGTCCGGCAGATTCAAATTTTACATCTCTCAGGTAATTGCTCGCTGATAAAAGAATCTTCTGGACTTTCATTCATTTAGCAACTATTCCAATGGGCTAGTCTAATTCCGGCACAATTTAGGGCACTGGCTCAAGCACCATCCTGTATGAAAGAAATATACTGGGGACAACGATTTCATGAGTAAAGACACACATTATGGTATTTGTAATTTCCTCTAGTCATGAATTATTATTAGGCGAGGAGATCCTACATATCAGTTACATGGCCTCCTGGCATGTCTTCAAAAGGGTGACACCAACATTTCTTAGGTCACATACCCTTTAGCAAAGGAGGCATAATAGTCACTCCTATCAAAATATTTATTGGGACTACAGAATCATCACTTACACTTTGAAAGGTGCTAAATTTACATTATGTGAAAATTCTTTCTGTAGCTTTACTTATGCCCTACTGTAGTTATTTTCTCTGGAAGCTCTATCTCCAATTACTGCATTAACACGTTTTTTCTCATTGGCCCATCCTGACAGTTACTTAAACAGTGTCATAGGCAATTGAGCCTTATATCCGAGAGAAAACCAGATAATTTTAAAGTTGTGGGATGCTCCCCATCTGTTGTCTTTCATAGATCATCAAGACTTTACGTTTATGTAACGTACGGCTGGATCCCTGTTCCGATAATGCCTTTACATTTTTTGATTTATGTATGTCCTTTTAGCATCAATTTTTACCTGTAACAGGGGTAAGCTTAACTTCAGCAAAAACCATCATTATTAACATTAGGCAAGGCAATTTTTTACATTACTACTGTTGTGACAGGATTGTCACATTATCATTATGATCAACATCATCATATAGACGTCTTTACACATGACTATATGGTGTCTTCCTTTGTGACTTGATACGCAGAAGTTTAATTTGCATAACAATCCTTTACATTGTGATTACCCAAAGCACCTGATACATCTGTCAATTCTCTCCAAACTTTCA